CACCCAGCCAGAACAGCTGACTTGGTGTCCGCGCCCGTCGGCGGCCGGCGGCGGCGGCTTTCACGAGGGCGCCTGCAAGGAAGTTGCACAGGGAGGTGAGATGGCTTGAGAGCCCGGATGGCATGCGGCGACGGTAGCGATGCCCGTGGTGCAATGGCCGGTGAGGCGGCGGAGCGAACGGGGACGAGAGAGCGGTCGTAGAGATCCTAGGGTTGAGGAGCATGGAGATGGATGGCAGAAAGATGGAGAGAGTGGCGGCCTGGGATTTGTTGATAGTTTCCCGGGCGGGCTGGCGGTCGACTTGGACATTTGGGCATGATGTGTGAAGGTGTAGTTGTTGGGAGGCGGCAGGGTGATTGTGAGGAAAGCTCGACGGGACGCAGACTGGCATGCATGGCGGATGATGGATATTTCACGGGCTGTTCCTTCGACGGCGTGGAGGTGGAGAGCAGCCATGGGTGGGCGGCGACCGTGCGCAGGATATATCGCGGCGGTGGGATGCCGCGCGGCAAGATCTTTTTGGTTTTTGTTTAAGTGTCATTTTCTAATGTAAATTAAATTAAGAATTCTTCTAAGTAACATAATGCATCACAATCTTTATTTTAGATTAAGGCTTTTGTTTGACGACAGCTTTTCTTACTGCTTTTTAAACTAATTCTTTTTAGTACATAAATTTTTTAAATTTACAAAACATTTCTTTATACTAAAACGCCTGCATGTCGTCAAGACAATAAAAAAAGCTGTCTCACAATGAAACATCCAAATACTTATATACACATATGGTCGAAAAACCTGATTTACCACACAGGCTCTTCATTAAGGACATAATATTCTCATTTCATTGAAATAAAAACAAAGCGCTTTTTTACTTACATATTATAGCTTAATTCTTTATGCCTTTCATTATTTTTGTTTGAACAACTTACGCAGATTTACATACATAACTCTTTGCTAAACAGGCAATCATCCGGCCTAAGATCAGATAAAGTATTATCATGATCGGGCTCGTCCTCCCTAATTCTAATAATCATCACTAGAGCAGCTCTAACTTTCACATTCGCATGATTACTTCCGCTATACCATAACTAACCGCAAAATTGTTTAATTGAATTAAGTTTAAATAATATTGTCTAATTTTGTTTATCTTTAACAAAACCACAATTAATCTTGGCTTTACTATATGATAAACGACATATTATTTACAATTTTTAAATTCTAAAATCGATTTTTAAAAAAGTTATAAATTAACATTGAATTCTTTCTCTACTTTTACTGTAAATGGCTTTAAAGGACCGCATTCTATATTCTATCAGAAATAATAGTGTGCTAATTCTCAATGTTAATCTTAATCAAAATTTTGACTAATATTCTATCCAATTTTAAAATCTGTTGAACTTTACTTTAAATATTTACCATATATTAAATATACAAATCAAAATTATAACGGTGTTCCATCTCGATAATAAATCAAAGAATTTCGAAACTGTTTTATCTCAATAAAAAGATTATTCTTGGTCCTGATATATACATTCCATATTCATTGGCTTTTTTTTTTATCTAGTTACTCCTTCATCTTCACCTATAAATAAAAACAAATGACTCAACTATTATTGAATTACTTAACAAACTCATTAAATTCATTTCCAACAAATAATTATCATAAATCATAAATTTAAGTTGGGCGTTATGTATTTCTATTTACGAAAATAAAATTACTCAAAAATGGATGTTATAAAAACTATCATATTAAGGACTTCATTGTATGGACTTTCTTATTATTTTTAAAAAACTTTGTAATAAAATATTTTAAAATCTTTGCCTAAAGTTTTGAAAAACATTCCCGAACAAGGCTAAAACTCGATAATAAAAACTTTTCCCTACCTAAATACTTACTCATTTCTCAAAGATGAAACAACCTCAAAATGTTCAATGCTTCTATTAAATTATAAAGACAAATCGATAAAAAAGAATTCATCATCCATAAAAATGTACTAATACAACAAATTTCGCGATTCCTTAATTCAGTTTAGAAAGGTATATTCTTATATTCGGTCTTACTCACTAGTAAGTATAACTCTTTTACCATAATTAATTTCTTCTTAGGCTCTATATATATAATTCAATAATATCTATATATACTTATATATAATATATCCTATCAATGATATAACCCATCAGAAATTGGTATCTATTGAAGCTAAAGTCCAAAAGCATCCTAATACTTAAATCAAATAGGACAAAGTAAGTGAAATAATATATATGATTATGCACTAATAAACTTATAATTTAACTATAAGTATAACTAATCCCTAAGTAATATATTTTTCATTTTTTAAATCAAAAGTCAATTTTACACCTACACTTATTGTAGATAGGTTTAATACAAGAAATAACAAGGTTTATTGATTGAGATATTTATTATGAACTTTCAAATTTGAATTATAAATTTGATCATTCTAATATACTTCTAGATTGAGATATATTATCATATATTTTTGAAATTTTAAATTATCAATTTTTATTTTAGTTATCAAGTTAATCAATAGGTGATTTCACCATTACTTTAGGATAAACAAGAGTTTAAGCTGGAAAAAATTTGTTAAGTGTAAATTGTGTACTATTTTTTATGTTAAAATTTAATAAAACATTATTTTAGTTGTGTTTGTGTAACAAATATTCATGAGAAGGAAAAAATTCATAAGTGTTATTAAATGAGAACCATAACACCCACTAATTCCACACCATAGTGTTTCCATCTACAACATCCTAGCATCTAATTTAGAATTTGTGGCTCTGGCCGCTTTAGAATTTCATAAAAAATAATAATTTAGTGGAGCCATGGTTAGTGTCACAGTGCATTACAGCATCAGTGCACCAGAAATTAGCACCATAGCACTTTAGTCTTAGGAAATTATAGGCCAGAGCACCAAGCTTCATAATGTTGCAGTACCAGATTGCACTATCAAGTGTTGTAGTACTGAATTTTTTAGCACCATGGAGGAGTAGTTGAAAAAATGAGGACCTGTGCCGACTCAGCTAAAAGATAAGTTTGTTCTACCATTAACTGTGCCAGGTCAGCACAACACCACATTGGAACTCAATAGCACCTAGGCGGAAGTTCAACTTTTACAGTTGTGGTGCCTATACTTCAAGAGTTGTGACTCCTTAGGCCATTTATGTGCTTTTTATAAATAAATTTTCAATTCTTTTGCTAGAGAGTTCTATCATTTATCAATAGAGTCTTATACTTTTGAGTGTCTTTATTTAGTTTTCCCTTAGAGTAAAATCTCAAGGAGGCTAAGGAAATACAAGATACTTTCATTTGGAGATATTAGCCTATATTGTGTAAGCAATTCTATGTAGAACATTAATTGATCCTTTTGGATGACATTT